CTCTCGAAGGCCTCGAAGGCAAAAAGATTGAGGAAGGACCAGCTTTTTTTTTTTTTGTTGCCTTGATTCTCTCCTCACGACCCGCCGGACGGTCCATTGGTCTCACCGGTCCATTCTCGCAACGGAACGAAAAGGGATGAATGAGACGTATGAGGATGGGATGGCTCGGGGCCATCGAGGCGCGCCGAGGCCTTGCCAAACCTGTCGCTATTGCCAATCCGACACATCTTAGTCGCAGGAATTCCTCTCTACTGTATCTCGGGGTCGGGGGGGGGGGGGGGGGGGGGGGGCTGATGCTTTCTGAAGGGCTAGAATTTTTCCCAGGAATTTTAGATCCCTAGTTTCTTTACTTGGCTGACGTCACCGGCCGCTTCCGAATCCTTCCCTCAAGCACGAAGAGAAAATTAGAAGTAAATAATGAATTTTCGCTTCGTTCTTCCGCTGCTTCCCGACATTTCCTGCGAGGGCCTTTCTCGGAAAAATGCGAGTCGTGATACATGCATCATAGGAAGTCGTGAACACCCTGTATTCAATGGAAATCAGCAACTTTTCAGAAGGTATTGTATTTTTTAATTTAAATATCAAGTCTGGTCTTCGTTCTCTATTTTTTTCGCAACGGGACGAAGTCGTGAACAAAATTCTATCCAATAAGAGAAATTCGAGATTGATATTTCCTGCAGTACTGTCGATGTAAACGCGTTCAAGGGATAAACACAAACATTACGCGAGGAAATTATATAGGGAATCGGAAATAATTCCTCTCCGAAATGAGGGCGTTTCGACTCGTGATACGTTTCTTTCTTTCTGCGGAATCGGAACTGAATGTTTAATGAGAAGTTGCTGCATATTTAACGAAAAAGTTGCGACATTGACCATATGGAAGCATTCCCACGGAGCACAGAAGCAGAAATTTTCTTCGAATAGAAAGTCCATTCAGTCATCCGTGCAGACGAGAGGCTCTGTCGTATTAATTTGGCGTTCCTCGTTAGGAATTCCGACGACCGTCTGGATTCTGTGATGTTCGAGATCGATGATGCATATATTGGGATTGATACGGGACAAGCTCGGAGCTGACAGGTTCACGTGAGATTCGGACCACCTGTGGTCCAGACAGGCTTCCATGCATCATTCTTTTCGAGACCTTGACTCGGTCCTGGGCTTCCAACTCGACGAGGAGCGACCGGAGGAGCAACCGGAGGAGCGACTGGAGGAGCAACCGGAGGAGCGAACGGAGGAGCGACTGGAGGAGTCATCGAGTGCGTGTTGAAACTCGGTGAAGAGGGGCCACGTGTCACACGATATTTCGCGTTTGTTAAGATTTCCTGGAAGCTCCTATCAAAGCGATATCTTCGCTTTTGTGTCGTGCAGCTGCGTTTCTGAAGCTTTCTCTCTCTCTCTTTGCTTCCGGTGCAGAACGAAATGGGGGGGGGGGGGGGGGGGGGGGGAAAGGGGGGGAATAGAATGCTTGCACGTTGCCACGTGCTGTCACAGGGGGGGGGGGGGGGGGGGGGGGGGGGGGGGGAAAGGGGAGGAATAGAATGCTTGCACGTTGCCACGTGCTGTCACTGACATCCAGTGGCTATGCATGTCCAATAATTAATCAATTCTGTCGACAGGAAGTGGAATGGGCGTCGACTAGGCCAGGTGCCAGTCATAGAGAGATAGAGAGAGAGAGAGAAAAGGGCGGGAAGTGAGCAAGGGGTAAAAAAGCCGTTGCTCTGTTAGATCAACACACATAGCGTCCGGTGCTCATACATGGCGTGACTTTTTTTCCTCGACTGCTCTTGTCTTATCGACGAAGTCTTGATCGAGGACGTAGATTGGGGAGCTATGGGACGATAGAGGGAGGGAGAGAGAGAGGGAGAGAGAGAGAAAGAGAGAGGAGGAGTGCGCATTGACTCAGAGGCAGGCAGGAGCAGAGTGGCTTTTTAACTAGAGGTGGGATGGCCGGGTTGTAGCCAGTGTGACTCCGGCTGGCTCTCGCACCTCATGGCCGGTCTCCGCGCCACCCCACGATCAGCATCGCATCCCATTTGGGATCCCACGTGAGTCCCGGTCGGTTTTCGAGAGTCGCAAGGCAGAATGAATTCGGTGATCAAGTGCTCCGTTCGTTCGAACGCGTCCGTTCTACTCGTCTTCGTCCTCGTCGGTGAGTGTGGCTCGAGCTAATCCTTTGGGGGGGAAAAAAGCCAAGACTGGGTGCGGAAGATGGGTCTCGCACCCGTTTGTGAAATCAAAGTGCAAACACGGTTGCGAGGACCCGTCTCGACTCGGTTTCTTCCAGGACGACGGATCGACGCGTTCGATCCCTTCTCTTGTTGCCCGACGTCGAATTAATGGAGCTTTCGGGGTTCTGCCATGTGGTTAGTGTATGGGGAAATGGACTGGAATGAAATAAGATTTATTTTAGGGGGTTGAAAGGTCTCGTTCATCATTCCACGTCAGTTCAGCCTTTCCCTCGTCGTCTCTGGGTCAAGTGACTCCTGTTTGCTTTTCACCGGTTTTTCTCCCAGGCGAACGCCTAGGCCACACAGAAAAGATTGGGCAATACGCGCCTTCCTTGCGAAAATACGCGTCGGAGAGACAAACTCTCCGATGTCCTGACATTTATCTTCTCCCACCGCGTCTGGTGACTATGGCGTAGGTGGCCTGAATCATCAAGCGGGTTCGCTACTGTTAACAGGACAAAGAGGGGGAGAAGAGAGCGAGAAAAAAAAAATCAGTCACGCCGGATGAGTGGGAATGACTAATTTTTCTTCCTCCGTAATGTGCGAGGGGTGACGTGGAAGCTGCGATACGAACATGCGAAGGTCACAGAGAAAGATGGAAACGAAAGCGAGAAGTCGTTTCGTCCTTGCGATATGAACTGCGAAGGAGGAAACCCAAGCCAGTGATGTCGATTGCGAACGATCCATTAATCTTCCTAGTCGTCACAGACCCATTAGTCATCGCACAATATCTCTTCTGGTAAAAGACGTCGAGTGTGATCGCAGTCGGGGGGGGGGGGGGGGGGGGGGGGGGGGGGAACTTATCGCGTGTCTTCATCTTCGAGAAACCGATCTGGATGCTGCGAGTAACGATTTGACACCCGAAGCGAGAGAAAGTGGGACGGTTTTATTTCGGGATTTTATAAATATGTGCAATTCGTCGGTGTGAAGTCGGGAGAGAGTTCGTGACGATGCTATCACGAGGAGGCAATTACGTTAAGGACGGGTCGGTTAATCACGATCGTATCTAAACGAGGGATCGACGGGTTATCTGAGATCGAACCGAAACCGACGGGGGGTCCTGAAACATGGTTTCATGTAACTTATTCAGATTGCCTCACCCTTTGGGGAAAAAAAATGGGTGGACGGATGGATAGACTCTGTTTTCCATTCCTCCTACGCGTTCCGCTGTTTCCTCGTCTTTTTATCTGACAGAGCAATCGAGCACGAGGATAAACGGAACGCTCTCGAGAGAACTTACGTCAGAAATAACGAAGAGAGGAATGGAATTTTCCCCGGAAGTCGTACGTTCCGGGACGGAAGAGGGATCCGGAAGGAAGTCGAAAATTGAATTCCCCCTCATCTATTACCTGGGTACCGTGGAAACCATACCGACGAACGGACCACCGTGGAACGATATCGTGCAGCGGACTGAAGGGATTTCCTGTGTTTACGACTCGTACTCATGAACCGAAAAGAGAGAGAGAGAGAGACGAGGTGATGTAACAGGGCGACCTTGGCCGCAGTGCTCCAGTACCAGGGAGCGGCTCGCTCGCTCCCCCCTCTATCTCGCCGTATATTTATATGAACATTATGAGGATGAAATGGATCGGAGTTCAAAAGGTGACGCCATACTTCTTCCTCCCCCCACAGGGACAAGCGCGTCCGATTCATCCGTTCCTCCATTCGCGATTCAATTTGGAAGTGTCCGACTCGAGTCCCCTGCAGGGCCCTTTGCAGCTCATTACGGATTGCTACTCTTTCATCCCTCGCATAATGACGTGACTGGGCGCCATCCAAGGTCCCTAAACCAGGCTGTAAATCAATTGACTGCCACTTTCGCGTCGGAGATTGGCCAATAAAACCCTGCTCCCGGGATATCTTGTTGCACACAGCGTGTCTCGGGCGAGTTAATTATATTATCGAATAGTATGCGGGAAAGGCCTTGAACACGTCAGAGGTGTGCCTCCCGAGAAGGTATGTTGCATATCTTATGATTCCACGTGTAAAGGATGGTAAAGGAAGAAAGAGAGCCGGGTAGATGATGATGATTATGATGGTGATGAGTACACGACAAGGACTGATGGGATCCCTGGTGGGAGCCCCACGTGCCAGCCCACACAGCCGACGAGGTCTATTTTTTTTTTTAGCTTGCTTGTATGTGTACACGAACGGTACAGTGCATGCAAACGGTACAACTGAACCATACGAGACCATCCGGTCTTCTTTTTAGACGAAGGCTCTTTCAATGGCAGACAGTAGACAATTTATCATGTGCGAACCACGACCTAATCTCGGGACAGGGGTAAAGGAGCGATACGATCGATCATGAATATGTGAGATCAATCCATCACTCAATCGGAAAATCGATCGATGGCCGCCCGCGCCTGAGGACCACGAAAAAAATCCCCTCCCTTGGGCTCCCAAAAGCCGAGCGCCCCAGATACAATGACTTGAGAACATCGTCCCTGTTGGACTCGAAGGTATTTCAGCACATATCAGGAGTTGCGAAGACGAGAGTAGGAAATCTTATCGGAGCTGTGTGTGTTCTTCCTTGCTCCGCACCCACCTGTACACAGCCGTATATGTGTAATGACTCGAGGTACTATCGAACAAGCAGCCCCAGATTGAATGTCGCCAATTAGTATTTATACAATGTCTTCGTGGGGATCGTTATCGATAGGGCGCGTGGGTAACGTTTCCCTGGGTGACTATATATATTTCATTTCATTTCTTTCTTCTCTGGTGAGTGACTCGAAAACTCCCCCTATTGATGTCATGGGGACAGTTGACATGGGTCTATCACAGCCCTGTCACGTGGCGGTGTTTAATCTAGAATATGTAATCAGACCACGGAATCAGAAATGGTGAAATCGAAGACACGACACACGTGAAACTGCTCTTTTCCTTTCCAGGAGTGAGCGGGGTACGGATAACGAACTTGATCGTGCCAGAAGTGATAGAGAACGGGACCCAAGATTCCGTCGTGTTGGACTGTGAATACACCTTCAAGGAATACGAAAAAGTGGGATTGGTTCTCCGGTGGTATTTCAACGATTTCTCCTCGCCGGTGTATCAGTGGATCCCGAACCAGAAGCCCAAAGACTTGGGTGTGCTCAAGGGGAAAGTGAATCTGGATTACAAGGCGACTCAGGACCCTTATGCCGAGCACAGAGCACTTCACATCATCTCGCCCACGACTGAACTTAGCGGGAGGTATCAGTGCAAAATTTCCTCCTTCGAAGGCGAGGATTCTCAAGAAAAACGCATGATCGTCTATGGTAAGAGATCTCGCAACCTATTATGTATCATAGATCCGTATTGATCTCTTGTGGACGCCATGCGCTCGGAGCGAGTCAGGTGGCTAATTGCCTTCGTTTCCAAATCTATAATGATAAAAACAAAATTTTTCATTCTACGCCCCCTCAAACGAATTTTCATCTAGAAGTGAGTAATATACGAGACGAGAATGCATGAATGTAATCGCATACCAAAGTATGCGATGACTTCAAATCCACGGAGGAGGGACACCCTACACCGCGTGGGGTGTACGCTCAATTTTCAGTCACTTCATCGATTCATTGGACGTGAGCTTTAAGGGACAGATTTTTCTTGCTTCCATCTGATGTATTCCTTTTGCCTGGGTTCGAATTGTCGTTGCCAGTTGATTCCATCGTATGGAAATGACGATACATTGTAGCTCCAGCCCGGTGGGTGGATTTGAAATGGAGCAAACCGGCTTCGGATCGAGTGAACGTGACCTGCGAAGCCAAGGGGATCTACCCCGAGCCTCGTCTCCGTCTGTTCCAGTCGTCGCCCCACAGCCCAAGGTGAGTCCAGCTGCGACGAAGAGGAAAGGAAGGATCGAAAGCAATCGCGAGCAGAAGATTCCCCCAGAGGCACTGACGAGTTTTTGTCTCTACAACTATTCGTCAAAGGGGAAGGATATTCTATGTCCCCTGGGTGCTCAGGGAAATCAGCAAGGAAGTCCCTGCCTTCATTTAATTCTCATGTAAATGCGAGTCACCCCCAAGGCAATTGGGATCATTTTAACAGACGGTTGCCATGGTTACTGTGTCTGAAAAAAGCACTATCAACAGCCTACATTTCCCCCGCTTTCATTCCAGATGAAGCTTGCTTGTGTATTATGCCATTTGCTCTTTCGGTCCATTAACTTTATCGGGATTTCCAAACCTCCTACTGTATATGTATATAAAGGGTGGCTAACCCGATAAATGATGGTACAGTATTTTCACGAAGGAAAGAAGTCCAAGGAGGCACAACAGAGACGTTGTGGAGGCTGCATCTCTATGATATCCTCACTTACAAGGTCTTCGAGGACTGGAGTCTAGAGGAAGAAAACGTTTTCGAATGCGAACTTTGGATCCCTGACACCGAGTACAGTGTCAGGAAAGAACTCATCTACTACCCAGGTATGATTATGACAAATAAACCTATAATTATCTGCTTTGTATATAGCCTGATCTCTGTGGACAGAATCCAGATGCTTGCATGCCTTTCTCATGCACTGAGGCGTACAATGCGAGAAACGAGAGGATGGTTCTTAGTTGGGGCTGGAGTCTCTTAGACTGTTTCGCGCTGTTTCGTAGAAAGAGGCGTGATTGGGGTGAGATGTGTTGAAATATGGATACGGGGCCGAAAAGTCTTTGAAAAGGACTATCCATTTCCGAGAATGACACTTGGGGGTATATCACTGATGCCTGACCTGCATTCCTAAATTCCTGACCGGGGCCTTGATAGAGAGGCGAGAAAGAAAGACCTTAATCCCGCCTTTATACAGAGTCCCTTTGAAAAGGAAGGACGTGAAAAAGCGTCAGCGCAGCGGGGAGTTCATTGAGTCGAAAGAGCATACGCCCTCGGCGTGTAAATCACGGGCTCCAGAGTATTGGGAATGGCGTGAAATAGGAAGTTGTCCGTTCGTGTTAAGACGAAGTCAACAAGGCATTAAGCATGGGCATTGGACAGGCATCCATCAAGAGGGGTGTGACAAAGGTGTCTTCTTCTGTAGGCGTACCCGACGAGGATTTGGGTGAGCCACCAAGAACTGAAACCCCCAGTTCGCCTCCCACAAGGCTTTCTCCCTCGCACTCCTCCTCTGGAGGTGAGCCTATTGCACTTCTCTCGGTCTAAACCCACTTCCCCTATTTCGGGCTTGTCAAGCATTCGTCTTTTCCTTTCCGCATTATTTTTTTTGGCCTCGACGACATAAATTTCGTCTTCTCTGTAGTTCTTTGACGTGTCTCTGTCGCAGCCTCTTCACCGCAAGATTGGCTCCGAGGTCGTACATTTTCTCAAAAATAGTCGCACAAAGGCACTGTCGTTGCATATGTATGAGAACAGCCTTTTCCAATAATCACCAAGTTTCCCTTATACTTTATTTCTTCTTGGTTTGCCCTCTATGAGATTTGGCCCTTGAAGGGCTTCGAAATCGCGTGGCAGTGACGTAACAAACCTCAATCTTCCTTATTGACGATTATTTCCTTCCGTTCAGGCAGAGGATCGAGTCAAGGACGAGATTTACTGCTCCTGTTGCTGACTGCAGCCACGTCGTTGTTTTTACCTGCCCTGCTCATTCCCCGGTAAGAACTAGTATGAAAAAGAGGAAGGAAAACGAACAAAAAATAGTGAAGACAGAACCTGTATATGAATGAGGGCCTCGTTTTTCTTCGAAGACAAGACTTGGCCGGTCTGGTTTATTAAGCCATGCACCGCATCTCGTTCTACCTCTTTTTTGACTGATGAAGGGGCGATTTCAGCAGATAGAGATGCAATGCAGACGCGTGCCACGGCATAATGAACGGAGTTCGAGGAACTCGCCCACGTAAAAAAAAAAAAAAATCTCACCCCGGCCAGCTAGTACTCCTAAACAAACGCTAACGCAGCTCGACCCATAAGGCTCAGGAGAAAAGGAAGAGCTCGTTTCGAAATCGTCCTTTACGACCGTAAGAGTACTCCTGGCCAGGGTCCAGAGACTTGCCTAGACGGTCGATGCTACCGGCGACGAGATGGACTTCTCAGATAGGGGATTTGCGACCTTCCCCTCCGAACGAAGGAAAGGGATTTTTCTTGCCCAGCACTTTATCTTCCCATTTCCAGCTTGCACTAACTGTGAAGTTATGGCGGCCACCCGGAAAATTCCATTTCATTTCCGTCCATTCCCATTCCATCCTGCCATACAAGGAGCCGCGCCGAGATGGAGTTGAAGAGATCGTGAAGTGGCGAGGGATTAGGAGAGGGGAGAAGAGGGAGAAAAATGGATTGTCAGGGTACACAGAGAAGATAGATAGAGACCTGAAGTGGCCGGGGACAGTCACACGACTTCCCGACACCATGACGCCGAGGAACACCCGGTTATTACTCAACACGGAGACAAGCCAGAGAGTGCATTTCTTGGTAATCATCGAGCAACGTTGACATCTCATTGTCTCCGACCTTGGACACCCAGCTCGGTTGTCTTAACGGGACTATTTTTCATGACTCGAGCCGCGATAATGCATGGACGTGGTGTCAAAGCACGATAGCATATCGGAGAAGGATATATGGGGCCGCCGTATAGAAAAAAAAGAGGGGGGAAAAATGCAGGATTCCGTGCAGTACAGGATGTTACCTAGGCATCCCTCAAAATTCCGGACGTGCTAGTTTCCATATCAGTTGCCATATCACTAGCCTTTTTTTTTGTTATCTGGATGTAGGTGACTGGTGCTGTGAAAGAGGTGATGAACAGTGAGAACGAGGAATCCATTGCAAGAAAGCCACGAAACAGAACTCCCTTATTCGCCAACGCATTGACATGTCAGAGGAAGAGACGATGGAGAAGACATTGGATTCCGCTGAACATCGAAAATGTGTTACTTTTCACCGCTAAGAGTCCCCCTTTAGCCCAACCTCGCTTTTATCGAGTGTGAGTGTTCAGTGCAATTTTCTTTTTATGGATTTAGAGCCAACCGTGTGGGGGGGAAAAAAATAAAGTACTAGACGTCTTTCAGTTTTTCTTGCCACGTGGACCTGGGCATACTTTTTATTCCCTTCTTCGGGAAGGATTGCAGACATCATGGTAGGTCCGGTATGAGATCGCGGATTCGTGCCCAGGGGGTCCAGGGTTTGAGAAGGGAAAACAGTCACGCTAATGGAAGTGTCATGTGACGATCATGCGTATACAAATGCAACACTTGCTCCTTCGGTAATTCACGATGTCTTCGTGCCGTACTTTGTTTTGGTGGGGACACGGGTCGTCCTTGAGTCAAGGGTGCTTTTTTCAGTCCATGTTTTTCGACGATCACTCACTGTGTTGTCTCGCCGCATTCTATAATTTTTGACGCCATGGGGCGTAATGATGGCCCTTGCTCGATGCGAACGCGCTCGATCATTTCGATGAAAAGATGGCATTCTGGAAATTTTCTTTCATAAATGTCATTCGGCTTGCCGGGAATAACACGGCACGGGAACACTTTATCCGATTGCCTTGAATTATATATAAGGTAACCATCGCCTGACGTGAAATGCCTCGCCCGATGCTGTGCAATGCCTCGTATGCGTGAGTGACGCGAGTAGGAAATAGACGAAGAGAGGCATAAGAATAGGGAAGTTGAAAGCGTGAAACAAACTCATTGGTTTTATCCTCACGATCTACCTGGAAGAGAGAGGAAACAGAATTCTTCCATTTCCAACGTTTCCTGCCTTTTCCGCATCGCCTTCAACTTAAAGAAGGAAATGTACCGCAGAGTTCAACTTGGAGGGGGGGGGGGGAAAGGGGAAGAGACAACAAGGAGAAAGTGGTGTCTTGGGGAGTGGAAGGAGAGGTTTCAGCTCACCTCTGGTTTATTCTGGAATCATAACGCATTAGAACCGGGAGGGAACCGTTTAAGAGGATGGGAATCGGGAAATATTTTTCTTTCTTTCTTTTTTCTCACGCTTCACTGGCAACACTGAATGCCTCAACCACTGCCAAAACACACCTCCTATACGCCCACACCTTTCTTGCCTCGTTCATTTCTTATTTCGACGGTGGACGCTCCTATTCGCCGCAGTGGGCTCGCAAATCAGCGGGCTCGGATCTTGAAGGTTTCCGGCCGAGGTGAGAGACTTGGCAGAAATTTTCCTCTCCTTTTGGTGTTTGACTCTGAATCTCGTTCCGAGTTGCAAAATTGACATTTTTGAATAATTTCAGCTGCACCCTTACTGTTCCTTACTTCAATTTAATACTCGTATAGGAGTTTCAAAAGAGTAGAAATGCGGAGACATTATGCTGGATTCCCGCGCCCACGAGGGATCATACTAGAAGCAGGGAATTTAAATTTTCCAGGGAACCAAAACATAAGCTTCATCCACGGCCTCTGTATTTGTTGCATTTTCCAGTTGTAATTCTTTTTGTAATTGCGGAACAGTTAGGCCTTAAAATCATTTTCTGGTTATAGATAGGGCGATTCGAGAATATTTATAATTAAAAAAATCATAAAGATGATGAATAAACTATACCTTTTAAAAAGTTCCGCAGCTTCCTCGACCAAAAAACCAAAAGTATTGATTATATTTTGCCGTTTTGCTTCTGAGATTCCTCAGGGAAGTCACAGAATGTGATTGCCCAATCGGTCTGATCCCGAGCTGACATCGGCCGAATCGTCAAGATGCAAACGACTTTGCAGGATCAAGTTCCTCAACGAGGAACTCAGCCAGGACAAGGCTTTCAGGGAAATTATGGAACAAAAAAAGCTCCGGAAAGAATAGATTTCCTCTTGAATGAATTCGGAGCTCTTCGCTAGATCAACACTTGCGAAAGAACGCGAGTAAAAGAAAAAAAAAAAAAAGATCTCGAAGGAAATATACAGTGTATCTTTCCCCTCTGTATTGCACAAGAAGGCAATCAAGATGGAAGACATCGAAGGGTCTTAATTCCCAAGATTGGGCATTTGTCGCGAGGAAGATAGAGAGGATTTATCTCCGCTTCCGAAATCCCCCGAGAATCCCTGTCGACTTGGAAGATAATGAATCACGGATTCAAGTTTCAGGCTCCCTTAATTACCTGGCGATAATTTTATTCATGACACCATCAAGTGCCATGGAAATGGAAATTCCCGTCTCCGTGACGGGCGGGGAGACCCCGGGGCACGAGAGAAACCCATCCGTCTCGGGGAAGAAATCGATGATTCTATCAAATAATTCATCGACGGGAAGTGAAAGAGCGAGGTCGATGGTAATGGTTTCCCACATATCACCGGGGTCAGGAAGTTTAAACCCGCTCGTGGGCGAGACGGAAAGCGGATGCGTCGCATGAAAGGAATAAAAGAAGCGGATGGGCTGAACTTCTCATGCAAGACACACACACACACACACACAGACACGCAGACACACACACACACCGTGGACATTCCATTAAAACGGCATTAATTGTTCTGGCGCCACGCCGGGAAGGTGATCTTGACCCTCCCAATTAGTGAGGGACTACATGCCAAAAGCCGTGTATCTCTCCCTCGTATCTATGCTTTGAAGGAGAGAAAAAGGTCGAAGACCCGATAAGAGTCGAACTTGGCAGAGATGCCAAGGTCGAACCGGCTTTCTGCGATCATCAGTCAATCGATTTCATGGCTTCACGTCGGAACCGTCCGTGAAATTCGACCCGGCGGCCCTCAATCGGGAAATATTTGAAATATAGTTGATTCGAGCCCGAGGCCTTTCAGGCGCCGCGATGGTGACCTCTGACAAATTTCTATACCTTCAAAGCTTCAGTTTATGTGGAAAGGTTGAGGCTACTTGCATATGGGAAGATTAAATCGGCTGAAAACGAGGACGTTTCGCTTCCCGGGTCAGAGGGCGATCGCACGTCAGCGCGAATTCTATCGGATCGGGGCGGAACGTTTATATTGCTGGAATTACGCCGAGATCTCACGCTTTCTCTGTTTTGAATGGGATCACTCTCGTTGAAGCTGCGGAACGGATCGTGCAGATCCGCACAGACCGTATTCGATCGTGTTCCATTCTTTCCGAGCGAGCGGCGAGCTTTCCCATAGACATGGACGTGGACGTGTCTATGAGAACGCTCGCCGTTCCAGGAAAGGCTGGACCTGTGCCATGCGGCGTGCAGTGGGTGGAGGTCCGCTTCGCTGCAGTGTGTGCGGGAAATTTTCTCGCCGAAGAAATGCTCCGGTTCGAACCGAACCGCGTTGGTGTGCGACCATCTATAGAGATCGATTGAAAGAAAGGGTGGATCCTCGATCGACTGGTTCGATGTCATTTTTGCCAGCACCCTCGGGTCATCTCAATTTTGTCTTGCGGAGGTTGGCTGGCTGGTTGGCTGGCTGGCTGGCTGGCTGGCTGGCTGGCTGGCTGGCTGGCTGGTTGGCTGGCTGGCTGGCTGGCTGGCTGGCTGGCTGGCATCGCGAACACGCAGACCGCCTCCGCGACTTTCATCGCGAACATGCGGCTTGCTCCTTGCCTTTCATCGCGAACTCTCTCGTGTCTCGTCCTGCCGGATCTGCTATTGACCTCAAGAAGCGGCACCTATATCGGGAACTATACAATATTTTAAAACTCTTCTATCAAGTCAGGTTACAATTTTCTCTGAATCTGTCCAGTGTCGCCTCCAGACCCACCCTCTTAAATTGCATGGAAGGTGTTTCATAACTAACTCTCCATTATGTGATAACTCTCGAGGTGAGATGCATTCATTTTCAAAGAAGAAAGAGCAAAAAATATATTTTAAAAATTCAAGCACCAATATTACTTTTTTTTTTATACTCAAGGCAACGCTCTTGTAATGCATTTGAAATTTTACCAGAAGCACCGTGATTTTATGCTATTAGCATTTATATATATAGCATTGACATTTCTTGAGATGTTTGAGAGAGATTGGCCAGAGCCGAAAGCAGGCGAATCCGTCTAATTGCTCCATGTGGGAAAAGGAGGCAGACAAGACAAAGCCAAGGGCACTAGCCGATCTTTTCGTCAAATCGTCTTTTAATGACTCTTCCGCCATCTAATGGCCTCTAAGCTCCGGCGATCATATTGGAATTTGCAATAATTCTCGGATCTGTCTGGAACCTAAGCTGGAAATGCGAGACCTTTGCGTACATAATAGGGTAAGAATCGCGTGGGATACCGCAAGAAAACGACTATTTTATTATTAAGATTTGTACGTGTACACTTACGAGGGTTGGACGAAAATTCCGTCAACTTTTTTAAATCCGGATCGTACACTTCCCGAGGCTGTAAATCGTCCTTAGAATTTTTCCAGTCCTAAATTACCATGATCTGAAATGTGAGACATGTCGCAGTTTTGTTTTTATTTGTTATTATTATTATTTTTTTATTCCTGTTTTTATTTTTGCTTCTATTTGATGCTGTTTTCCACGCAAAGGCAGCTACCAAGCGGTGAATCTTCATATTCTTTTTCAAATGAGACATGCAGTGAATATTGCTCC